GGAAATATAACTGAGACCAGATGAAGCTCACTGATAATTGTAGCACCGAGACTGAAGAGGAAAAAGCTCACTAGAGATGTTCAATAAAAAGGTCATTTCTGGGACTCTGGTTCCTCAGAGTGACTTCCTGATGTGGGACATGAAGAATTCTGCTTCAACATAATGTTGGAATCAATGAAGTCAGCAGAAAATGAAGATTTTAGATGACAGAGAACAAAAAGTAGGATTCTGAAAATGTGAAAACATGAACCTCCTTGTCTTTGGTCCTCAGCTGCTTGTTGTGATTTTCTGTTTCCAATGTTTCTGCTGAAAGCACAAAAAAAAATCTCCATGAACATGACAGGATTTCACGTGTTATTCAGAATTAACCAAAAGATTTATTTGCCTCTTTCTCAAATTATTATTCTTATTATTTTTGCATATTTTCCCCATTTTATTGTTTGACATCATCAAACAAATGTAAATATCACACAAAGATAACCAAAGTAAACACAAAATGCAGATTTTAAATGATAATTTTACTCATTAAGAAGTAAACTCTTCAAAGCCACCTGGTCCTGTGTGAAACAGTAATCACCTCCTAAACCTAACACCTGGTTGAGCCGCCCTCAGCAGCAACAACTAGAATCAAGTGTTTTCTAGAACTGGGAGTGAGTCTTTCACATCTCTGTGGAGACATGTTGGTCCACTCTTCTTGTTTTAATTCAGCAACACTGGAGGGTTTTCCAGCATGAACGGCCTTTTTCAGGTCATGTCTCAGCATTTCAATCAGATTCAAGTCCAGACTTTGACTCGGCCACTCCAAGACCTTCATTTAGTTTCTTTAAGCCATCCAGAAGTGGACCTGCTGGTGTGTTCTGGATCGAGCTTCAGCTTGAGGTCATGAACTGATGGCTGAACATTCTCCTTCAGGACTTTCTGGTAGAGAGCAGAATTCATGGTTCCACCAATCACAGCAAGTGGTCCAGGTCCTGAAGCAGCAGAGCAGCCCCAGACCATCACACCACCACCACCATGTCTGACTGCTGCTGTGATGTTCTGTCTCTGAAATGCTGTTACTTTTACACCAGATGTAACGAGACACACA